GGCACACAATGTCCCCCTTTTAGGCACACAGCAGTCTAGTTGCCATCAAACAAATCGTAGCACTTTAATCCAAATGCTCCATTCATAAGCTCTGTCTCCCACCGGAGCCAGACAGAGATCACAATGGCGGCACAGCCCAGAAAGCCGGCATTTTAAAACAGCCAGTTTTTTCCTGCTGCCGAGTCAGGACAATTTCTTTGCAGCACGCAACCCAGAAACAGCAAAAAGCTGTCTTAAATTCTCTCTCTCTCCTTCTTAAGCCCTCTCAGGTTTTTAAATGGATTTAGCCCATCACGTCTGGGCGCCATCAGAGAGGATCTTAACCTGCGTCTGTCTGGAGTGGGAGCATCATGGCGACTCTTTCCCTAAGCTTCTTTTTCCCAGCATCCTCTTCTGTCTACTCCGCCTACCTAATTTTCTGTCCTATGAGGGCCGAGGCAGTTTCTTTATTATTACAAGACCCACCTCCATCAGAGCACTTCGCAGTTGCAGGAAATAAAGTGGGGTGTTTGAACTACCAATTTGAAACTGTAATGAAATGAATTGACTCCTCCTTTTATGATGGTGGAGACTTCACCCTGTTAGAAGTTCTAAGTTTTGACCTGCTTAGCATTGTGATTTGTCTATCTAAAGTGGTGAGGAAGAACTAGGAGTTAAGGGGGAAGATGGAAAAGAGATGAGAGAACTTTTGGAGTCCTCACTCCCCAACCCACCCATCCACAGGAGGAAACAGGCAAATGAGAAGGCAGTATGGATGCCAAGGTGTGTGGTCTCCTTGCAGGATGTATGTCAGAATGCCATCATTTCTCTGCTTCTGACTTACTTGCTCATTGTAAGAAGACAAAAGTAAATGATAGACGTGTATCCTACCAGAGAAGAAACAGCTCTTGTTGGATGCAGTATGGTTTAGGGAATGGAGGAAGTATATCCTGACCACACAACCAGTGCTGACAAAGGGAGAACTTTTACTCTCAGATGTTCCCTTCTCCGTGTTCTCTACGCCCTGCTCTTCCTTCTTGTCAGATAACGTCTTACTGACAAATTAGTGAAATAACCTGAGAAAGTGTTGCTTTTATGTGGGCTCGAATCCCTGTTATTGGCAGCTCGCCCTGCCAGTCACAGTAATGCTTATCCATTAGTCGTTTCCCACAGCGTGCTGAATGGAATGAAAGCTATTTTGTTTGTAGCTTTTATTTCTTGAAAAGTTGCCCACCAGATTTCAAGTTTAATGCCAGCCACAAAGATGTATGCTTTTAAATATCCATGACTTCTACCAAATAAATAACTGGAGAATCTCACCTGAGGAAATCTGGCCTCCCTCCACTTGTAAACAAGCTGCCCCACATCTGAATCAGCCTCCCTGTAGCATTTGCAGTCTCTAACGTGCATGCCTTCTCTCCACGGGAAGGGAAGAGTTTCATTTGGACAGTGCTTTGAGCTGACCCCTATTCCAGATCAATTTGCAAAGCATTGAGGTATTAAATGTATTGTATGTGATTTATAGCCTTGTTTACTCTGCATCAGTAAACCCTGGAGGGATTCAGGGACTGGCTGATCACAGCTGAAAATGCCCAGATATGGTTCACGACAGAGTACTTATGTTTATGTAGAAAAGAATATGAAATTCCAAGAATTTAAAAGTAAATACGAATATACAAAAATCACCCATTCATTTCCTTCTCTGCATAGGAAGTGCCTTGACTAATTATTTTCCTTTTGTCTAGTTGTCAAGTGTAAAGGAATAATTCTTACACAGTAACATGATATTATTTTCTGATACAGCCCTCAGTTTGAGCAGACTATTCTCTAAGTCACCTAGAAGAGTGCACTTTAGACACCTGAGTAGAAAAGAATGAGTCACCTCAGGCTTCCAGAACAAAATACATACACTGTTTGACTTAAATAATAGATTTATTTTTTCAACAACCTCAAGACTTTTGGGTAGACCTGTGTTCACCCATGCCCACCTTTCCTTTAGGGAAAGCTAAAGTTCTCTGACAGTAAGAACCACGTCATTTTAGTAGAAAACAAGGGCACTAGAAAGGAAGCGATACGCTCCTGGATTATAGCCTGACATTCCTTACCTTCTTACTACATTTGTATCTCTTGAACCGATTTGCCTGCTGTGACTTTAATAATCTGCTACCAGTGTGTCCGACTGTCTAGAAACAAAGGTAAAACATTGGCCTCACTTCCTTTCCTTAACTGCAGACTCATGCTTACATTTTCTACTCCTGTCAGCACAAAGCATGGTGGTTAAGGTCTTAGTTCCAGAGACAGACTGCCTGAATCCAGTTTTCTGTGCTTCCACTCTGTCCCTGTGTTCTCTGCATAATTCATTTTCTAGTACACTCAGAAATTGTCTATAGTACAGACTAAATCAAGTGGCTGGCTTAAATTTCCTATTGAAACTGCACCGTATTTTCCAGAAATGAAATCCAGACTCCGCATACGCTCCTCTGTCCTGTCGTCTTCCTTCTCCACGTTCCCAGCTGCCCTCCTCCAGCTTTCCTGGCCTTCTGTTTATAGAACATGCAGGGCTGGCGTCCTCTGCTTGGAATGCTCTGCTTCCTGATCTTGGTTAGCTGCCGCTGTCAGTCAGCAGTCACTGTTCCTGGCCATGTTGTTGAGACCAGCCCCTGCCTTCATTGCTTTCCATTGCCTTACCATTTCTTGTCAGACCAGAAGAAAATCATACAGGGAAACATTCAAATATGTTGATGCTTGAGCTCTCTAGGACTGAACACTAGCTACTGTGAAATGGGCCAATGAAACTTACCTACCATAAAGGTTATACTCGAGGTTAAGCAATTAAAGTTTTGAATGTACTTATAGCAGAGTGCATAGTTATACTCAGCCAGTCTTACAGCATGCTCAATTTAGTCTTTCATTTTCT